TCTCCTCCTGTTCTCGTCCTGTTCTCGTCCTGTTCTCCTCCTGTTCTTGTCCTGTTCTCCTCCTGTTCTCGTCCTGTTCTCCTCCTGTTCTCGTCCTGTTCTCCTCCTGTTCTCGTCCTGTTCTCGTCCTGTTCTCCTCCTGTTCTCGTCCTGTTCTCGTCCTGTTCTCCTCCTGTTCTCGTCCTGTTCTCCTCCTGTTCCTGTCCTGTTCTCCTCCTGTTCTCGTCCTGTTCTCCTCCTGTTCTCGTCCTGTTCTCCTCCTGTTCTCGTCCTGTTCTCCTCCTGTTCTCGTCCTGTTCTCCTCCTGTTCTCGTCCTGTTCTCGTCCTGTTCTCGTCCTGTTCTCCTCCTGTTCTCGTCCTGTTCTCGTCCTGTTCTCGTCCTGTTCTCCTCCTGTTCTCGTCCTGTTCTCGTCCTGTTCTCGTCCTGTTCTCCTCCTGTTCTCGTCCTGTTCTCGTCCTGTTCTCCTCCTGTTCTCCTCCTGTTCTCGTCCTGTTCTCGTCCTGTTCTCGTCCTGTTCTCGTCCTGTTCTCCTCCTGTTCTCGTCCTGTTCTCGTCCTGTTCTCGCCCTGTTCTCGTCCTGTTCTCGTCCTGTTCTCCTCCTGTTCCTGTCCTGTTCTCGTCCTGTTCTTGTCCTGTTCTCCTCCTGTTCTCGTCCTGTTCTCCTCCTGTTCTCGTCCTGTTCTCCTCCTGTTCTCCTCCTGTTCTCCTCCTGTTCTCGTCCTGTTCTCGTCCTGTTCTCGTCCTGTTCTCTCCTGTTCTTGTCCTGTTCTCCTCCTGTTCTCGACCTGTTCTCGTCCTGTTCTTGTCCTGTTCTCCTCCTGTTCTTGTCCTGTTCTCCTCCTGTTCTCGTCCTGTTCTCCTCCTGTTCTCGTCCTGTTCTCCTCCTGTTCTCGTCCTGTTCTCGTCCTGTTCTCCTCCTGTTCTTGTCCTGTTCTCCTCCTGTTCTCCTCCTGTTCTCGTCCTGTTCTCGTCCTGTTCTCCTCCTGTTCTCCTCCTGTTCTCGTCCTGTTCTCCTCCTGTTCTCGTCCTGTTCTCCTCCTGTTCTCCTCCTGTTCTCGTCCTGTTCTCGTCCTGTTCTCGTCCTGTTCTCGTCCTGTTCTCCTCCTGTTCTCCTCCTGTTCTCCTCCTGTTCTCGTCCTGTTCTCCTCCTGTTCTCGTCCTGTTCTCCTCCTGTTCTCCTCCTGTTCTCGTCCTGTTCTCGTCCTGTTCTCCTCCTGTTCTCGTCCTGTTCTCGTCCTGTTCTCGTCCTGTTCTCCTCCTGTTCTCGTCCTGTTCTCGTCCTGTTCTCGTCCTGTTCTCGCCCTGTTCTCGTCCTGTTCTCGTCCTGTTCTTGTCCTGTTCTCCTCCTGTACTTGTCCTGTTCTCGTCCTGTTCTCGCCCTGTTCTCCTCCTGTTCTTGTCCTGTTCTCGCCCTGTTCTCGTCCTGTTCTCCTCCTGTTCTCGTCCTGTTCTCCTCCTGTTCTCGTCCTGTTCTCGTCCTGTTCTCCTCCTGTTCTTGTCCTGTTCTCCTCCTGTTCTCCTCCTGTTCTCCTCCTGTTCTCGTCCTGTTCTCGCCCTGTTCTCGTCCTGTTCTCGTCCTGTTCTCGTCCTGTTCTCCTCCTGTTCTCGTCCTGTTCTCCTCCTGTTCTCGTCCTGTTCTCCTCCTGTTCTCGTCCTGTTCTCGTCCTGTTCTCCTCCTGTTCTCCTCCTGTTCTCTCCTGTTCTCGTCCTGTTCTCTCCTGTTCTCGTCCTGTTCTCTGTTCCTCCTGTTCTCCTGTTCTCTCCTGTTCTCCTCCTGTTCTCTCCTGTTCTCTCTGTTCTCGTCCTGTTCTCCTCCTGTTCTCGTCCTGTTCTCCTCCTGTTTCTCCTGTTCTCTCCTGTTCTCGTCCTGTTCTCGCCCTGTTCTCGCCCTGTTCTCGTCCTGTTCTCGTCCTGTTCTTCCTGTTCTCGTCCTGTTCTCGTCCTGTTCTTGTCCTGTTCTCGTCCTGTTCTCCTCCTGTTCTCGTCCTGTTCTCGTCCTGTTCTCGCCCTGTTCTCGTCCTGTTCTCGCCCTGTTCTCGTCCTGTTCTCGTCCTGTTCTTGTCCTGTTCTCCTCCTGTACTTGTCCTGTTCTCGTCCTGTTCTCGCCCTGTTCTCCTCCTGTTCTTGTCCTGTTCTCGCCCTGTTCTCGTCCTGTTCTCCTCCTGTTCTCGTCCTGTTCTCCTCCTGTTCTCCTCCTGTTCTCGCCCTGTTCTTCTCCTGTTCTCGCCGTGTTCTCGTCCTGTTCTCGTCCTGTTCTCGTCCCGTTCTCGTCCCGTTCTCGTCCCGTTCTCCTCCCGTTCTCGTCCCGTTCTCCTCCTGTTCTCGTCCTGTTCTCGCCCTGTTCTCGTCCTGTTCTCCTCCTGTTCTCCTCCTGTTCTCGTCCTGTTCTCGTCCTGTTCTCGCCCTGTTCTCGTCCTGTTCTCGTCCTGTTCTCCTCCTGTTCTCGTCCTGTTCTCGTCCTGTTCTTGTCCTGTTCTCCTCCTGTTCTCCTCCTGTTCTCCTCCTGTTCTCCTCCTGTTCTTGTCCTGTTCTCGCCCTGTTCTCGTCCTGTTCTCCTCCTGTTCTCGTCCTGTTCTCGTCCTGTTCTCGCCCTGTTCTCGTCCTGTTCTCGTCCTGTTCTCCTCCTGTTCTCGTCCTGTTCTCGTCCTGTTCTCGTCCTGTTCTCCTCCTGTTCTCCTCCTGTTCTCGTCCTGTTCTCCTCCTGTTCTCGTCCTGTTCTCCTCCTGTTCTCCTCCTGTTCTCGTCCTGTTCTCCTCCTGTTCTCGTCCTGTTCTCCTCCTGTTCTCCTCCTGTTCTCCTCCTGTTCTCCTCCTGTTCTCGTCCTGTTCTCATCCTTTTTTCGCCCTGTTCTCGTCCTGTTCTCGTCCTGTTCTCCTCCTGTTCTCGTCCTGTTCTCGTCCTGTTCTCGTCCTGTTCTCCTCCTGTTCTCGTCCTGTTCTCGCCCTGTTCTCCTCCTGTTCTCCTCCTGATTCTCGTCCTGTTCTCCTCCTGTTCTCGTCCTGTTCTCGTGCTGTTCTCCTCCTGTTCTCCTCCTGTTCTCCTCCTGTTCTCGTCCTGTTCTCCTCCTGTTCTCGTCCTGTTCTCGTCCTGTTCTCCTCCTGTTCTCCTCCTGTTCTCGTCCTGTTCTCGCCCTGTTCTCCTCCTGTTCTCGTCCTGTTCTCGTCCTGTTCTCGTCCTGTTCTCGTCCTGTTCTCCTCCTGTTCTCCTCCTGTTCTCGTCCTGTTCTCCTCCTGTTCTCGTCCTGTTCTCGTCCTGTTCTCCTCCTGTTCTCCTCCTGTTCTCCTCCTGTTCTCGTCCTGTTCTCGCCCTGTTCTCCTCCTGTTCTCCTCCTGTTCTTGTCCTGTTCTCGTCCTGTTCTCGTCCTGTTCTCACCCTGTTCTCGTCCTGTTCTTGTCCTGTTCTCCTCCTGTTCTCGTCCTGTTCTCCTCCTGTTCTTGTCCTGTTCTCACCCTGTTCTTGTCCTGTTCTCACCCTGTTCTCGTCCTGTTCTCCTCCTGTTCTCGTCCTGTTCTCCTCCTGTTCTCGTCCTGTTCTTGTCCTGTTCTCGCCCTGTTCTCCTCTTGTTCTCCTCCTGTTCTCGTCCTGTTCTCGTCCTGTTCTCGTCCTGTTCTCCTCCTGTTCTCCTCCTGTTCTCGTCCTGTTCTCCTCCTGTTCTCGTCCTGTTCTCGTCCTGTTCTCCTCCTGTTCTCCTCCTGTTCTCACCCTGTTCTCGTCCTGGTCTCCTCCTGTTCTCGTCCTGTTCTCCTCCTGTTCTCGTCCTGTTCTTGTCCTGTTCTCCTCCTGTTCTTGTCCTGTTCTCACCCTGTTCTCGTCCTGTTCTCCTCCTGTTCTCGTCCTGTTCTTGTCCTGTTCTCCTCCTGTTCTTGTCCTGTTCTCACCCTGTTCTTGTCCTGTTCTCACCCTGTTCTCGTCCTGTTCCCCTCCTGTTCTCGTCCTGTTCTCCTCCTGTTCTCGTCCTGTTCTCGTCCTGTTCTCGCCCTGTTCTCCTCTTGTTCTCCTCCTGCTCTCGTCCTGTTCTTGTCCTGTTCTCGCCCTGTTCTCGTCCTGTTCTTGTCCTGTTCTTGTCCTGTTCTCCTCCTGTTCCTGTCCTGTTCTCCTCCTGTTCTCGTCCTGTTCTCGTCCTGTTCTCGCCCTGTTCTCGTCCTGTTCTCCTCCTGTTCTCGTCCTGTTCTCGTCCTGTACTCGTCCTGTTCTCCTCCTGTTCTCGTCCTGTTCTCGTCCTGTTCTCGCCCTGTTCTCGTCCTGTTCTCCTCCTGTTCTCGTCCTGTTCTCGTCCTGTACTCGTCCCTTTCTCCTCCTGTTCTCGTCCTGTTCTCGTCCTGTTCTCGCCCTGTTCTCGTCCCGTTCTTGTCCTGTTCTCGTCCTGTTCTCGTCCTGTTCTCCTCCTGTTCTCCTCCTGTTCTTGTCCTGTTCTCCTCCTGTTCTCCTCCTGTTCTCGCCCTGTTCTCGTCCTGTTCTCGTCCTGTTCTCGCCCTGTTCTCCTCCTGTTCTCCTCCTGTTCTGTCCTGTTCTCGTCCTGTTCTCGTCCTGTTCTCACCCTGTTCTCGTCCTGTTCTTGTCCTGTTCTCCTCCTGTTCTCGTCCTGTTCTCCTCCTGTTCTCGTCCTGTTCTCCTCCTGTTCTTGTCCTGTTCTCCTCCTGTTCTTGTCCTGTTCTCACCCTGTTCTCGTCCTGTTCTCCTCCTGTTCTCGTCCTGTTCTCCTCCTGTTCTCGTCCTGTTCTCCTCCTGTTCTCCTCCTGTTCTTGTCCTGTTCTCACCCTGTTCTCGTCCTGTTCTCGTCCTGTTCTCCTCCTGTTCTCGTCCTGTTCTCGTCCTGTTCTCCTCCTGTTCTCCTCCTGTTCTCCTCCTGTTCTCGTCCTGTTCTCCTCCTGTTCTCGTCCTGTTCTCGTCCTGTTCTCGCCCTGTTCTCCTCTTGTTCTCCTCCTGCTCTCGTCCTGTTCTCGTCCTGTTCTCGCCCTGTTCTCGTCCCGTTCTCGTCCCGTTCTCCTCCTGTTCTCCTCCTGTTCTCCTCCTGTTCTCGTCCTGTTCTTGTCCTGTTCTCGTCCTGTTCTCGTCCTGTTCTCCTCCTGTTCTCGTCCTGTTCTCGTCCTGTTCTTGTCCTGTTCTCGTCCTGTTCTCGTCCTGTTCTCCTCCTGTTCTCGTCCTGTTCTCCTCCTGTTCTCGTCCTGTTCTCGTCCTGTTCTCCTCCTGTTCTCCTCCTGTTCTCGTCCTGTTCTCGCCCTGTTCTCCTCCTGTTCTCCTCCTGTTCTCGTCCTGTTCTCGTCCTGTTCTCGTCCTGTTCTCCTCCTGTTCTCCTCCTGTTCTCCTCCTGTTCTCGTCCTGTTCTCTCCTGTTCTCGTCTGCCCTGTTCTCTCCTGTTCTCCTCCTGTTCTCCTCCTGCTTCTCCTGTTCTCTCCTGTTCCTCTCCTGTTCTCGTTCTGTTCTCCTCGTCTCTCCTGTTCTCCTGTTCTCGTCCTGTTCTCTCCTGTTCTCTCCTGTTCTCTCCTGTCCTTTCTCGTCCTGTTCTCCTCCTGTTCTCCTCCTGTGCTTGTCCTGTTCTCGTCCTGTTCTCCTCCTGTTCTCCTCCTGTTCTCCTCCTGTTCTCGTCCTGTTCTCGCCCTGTTCTCCTCCTGTTCTCCTCCTGTTCTTGTCCTGTTCTCGTCCTGTTCTCGTCCTGTTCTCACCCTGTTCTCGTCCTGTTCTTGTCCTGTTCTCCTCCTGTTCTCGTCCTGTTCTCCTCCTGTTCTCGTCCTGTTCTCCTCCTGTTCTTGTCCTGTTCTCCTCCTGTTCTTGTCCTGTTCTCACCCTGTTCTCGTCCTGTTCTCCTCCTGTTCTCGTCCTGTTCTCCTCCTGTTCTCGTCCTGTTCTTGTCCTGTTCTCCTCCTGTTCTTGTCCTGTTCTCACCCTGTTCTCGTCCTGTTCTCCTCCTGTTCTCGTCCTGTTCTTGTCCTGTTCTCCTCCTGTTCTTGTCCTGTTCTCACCCTGTTCTTGTCCTGTTCTCACCCTGTTCTCGTCCTGTTCTCCTCCTGTTCTCATCTTGTTCTCCTCCTGTTCTCGTCCTGTTCTCGTCCTGTTCTCGCCCTGTTCTCCTCTTGTTCTCCTCCTGCTCTCGTCCTGTTCTTGTCCTGTTCTCGCCCTGTTCTCGTCCTGTTCTCGTCCTGTTCTTGTCCTGTTCTCCTCCTGTTCCTGTCCTGTTCTCCTCCTGTTCTCGTCCTGTTCTCGTCCTGTTCTCGCCCTGTTCTCGTCCTGTTCTCCTCCTGTTCTCGTCCTGTTCTCGTCCTGTACTCGTCCTGTTCTCCTCCTGTTCTCGTCCTGTTCTCGTCCTGTTCTCGCCCTGTTCTCGTCCTGTTCTCCTCCTGTTCTCGTCCTGTTCTCGTCCTGTTCTTGTCCTGTTCTCCTCCTGTTCTCGTCCTGTTCTCGTCCTGTTCTCACCCTGTTCTCGTCCCGTTCTCCTCCTGTTCTCCTCCTGTTCTCCTCCTGTTCTTGTCCTGTTCTCCTCCCGTTCTCGTCCTGTTCTCGTCCTGTTCTTGTCCTGTTCTTGTCCTGTTCTCGCCCTGTTCTTGTCCTGTTCTCGCCCTTTTCTCCTCCTGTTCTCGTCCTGTTCTCGTCCTGTTCTCGCCCTGTTCTTGTCCTGTTCTCGCCCTTTTCTCCTCCTGTTCTCGTCCTGTTCTCCTCCTGTTCTCCTCCTGTTCTCCTCCTGTTCTCGTCCTGTTCTCACCCTGTTCTCGTCCTGTTCTCCTCCTGTTCTCGTCCTGTTCTTGTCCTGTTCTCGTCCTGTTCTCGCCCTGTTCTCCTCCTGTTCTTGTCCTGTTCTCGCCCTGTTCTCGTCCTGTTCTCCTCCTGTTCTCGTCCTGTTCTCCTCCTGTTCTCCTCCTGTTCTCGCCCTGTTCTTCTCCTGTTCTCGTCCTGTTCTCGTCCTGTTCTCGTCCTGTTCTCCTCCTGTTCTCGTCCTGTTCTCGTCCTGTTCTCCTCCTGTTCTCCTCCTGTTCTCGTCCTGTTCTCCTCCTGTTCTCCTCCTGTTCTCGCCCTGTTCTTCTCCTGTTCTCGTCCTGTTCTCGTCCTGTTCTCGTCCTGTTCTCCTCCTGTTCTCGTCCTGTTCTCGTCCTGTTCTCCTCCTGTTCTCCTCCTGTTCTCACCCTGTTCTCGTCCTGTTCTCGTCCTGTACTCGTCCCTTTCTCCTCCTGTTCTCGTCCTGTTCTCGTCCTGTTCTCGCCCTGTTCTCGTCCCGTTCTTGTCCTGTTCTCCTCCTGTTCTCGTCCTGTTCTCGTCCTGTTCTCCTCCTGTTCTCCTCCTGTTCTCCTCCTGTTCTTGTCCTGTTCTCGTCCTGTTCTCCTCCTGTTCTCCTCCTGTTCTCCTCCTGTTCTCGTCCTGTTCTCGTCCTGTTCTCCTCCTGTTCTCGTCCTGTTCTCCTCCTGTTCTTGTCCTGTTCTCCTCCTGTTCTTGTCCTGTTCTCACCCTGTTCTCGTCCTGTTCTCCTCCTGTTCTCGTCCTGTTCTCCTCCTGTTCTCGTCCTGTTCTCCTCCTGTTCTCCTCCTGTTCTTGTCCTGTTCTCACCCTGTTCTCGTCCTGTTCTCGTCCTGTTCTCCTCCTGTTCTCGTCCTGTTCTCGTCCTGTTCTCCTCCTGTTCTCGTCCTGTTCTCCTCCTGTTCTCCTCCTGTTCTCGTCCTGTTCTCCTCCTGTTCTCGTCCTGTTCTCGTCCTGTTCTCGCCCTGTTCTCCTCTTGTTCTCCTCCTGCTCTCGTCCTGTTCTCGTCCTGTTCTCGCCCTGTTCTCGTCCCGTTCTCGTCCCGTTCTCCTCCTGTTCTCCTCCTGTTCTCCTCCTGTTCTCGTCCTGTTCTCGTCCTGTTCTCGTCCTGTTCTCGTCCTGTTCTCCTCCTGTTCTCGTCCTGTTCTCCTCCTGTTCTCGTCCTGTTCTCGTCCTGTTCTCCTCCTGTTCTCCTCCTGTTCTCGTCCTGTTCTCGCCCTGTTCTCCTCCTGTTCTCCTCCTGTTCTCGTCCTGTTCTCCTCCTGTTCTCGTCCTGTTCTCCTCCTGTTCTCCTCCTGTTCTCCTCCTGTTCTCGTCCTGTTCTCGCCCTGTTCTTGTCCTGTTCTCCTCCTGTTCTCCTCCTGTTCTCGTCCTGTTCTCGTCCTGTTCTCCTCCTGTTCTCCTCCTGTTCTCGTCCTGTTCTCCTCCTGTTCTCCTCCTGTTCTCCTCCTGTTCTCGTCCTGTTCTCCTCCTGTTCTCGTCCTGTTCTCCTCCTGTTCTCGTCCTGTTCTCGTCCTGTTCTCGCCCTGTTCTCGTCCTGTTCTCCTCCTGTTCTCGTCCTGTTCTCCTCCTGTTCTCGTCCTGTTCTTGTCCTGTTCTCCTCCTGTTCTTGTCCTGTTCTCACCCTGTTCTCGTCCTGTTCTCACCCTGTTCTCGTCCTGTTCTTGTCCTGTTCTCCTCCTGTTCTCGTCCTGTTCTCCTCCTGTTCTTGTCCTGTTCTCACCCTGTTCTTGTCCTGTTCTCACCCTGTTCTCGTCCTGTTCTCCTCCTGTTCTCGTCCTGTTCTCCTCCTGTTCTCGTCCTGTTCTCGTCCTGTTCTCGCCCTGTTCTCCTCTTGTTCTCCTCCTGTTCTCATCCTGTTCTCGTCCTGTTCTCGTCCTGTTCTCCTCCTGTTCTCCTCCTGTTCTCGTCCTGTTCTCCTCCTGTTCTCGTCCTGTTCTCGTCCTGTTCTCCTCCTGTTCTCCTCCTGTTCTCACCCTGTTCTCGTCCTGTTCTCCTCCTGTTCTCGTCCTGTTCTCCTCCTGTTCTCGTCCTGTTCTTGTCCTGTTCTCCTCCTGTTCTTGTCCTGTTCTCACCCTGTTCTCGTCCTGTTCTCCTCCTGTTCTCGTCCTGTTCTTGTCCTGTTCTCCTCCTGTTCTTGTCCTGTTCTCACCCTGTTCTTGTCCTGTTCTCACCCTGTTCTCGTCCTGTTCCCCTCCTGTTCTCGTCCTGTTCTCCTCCTGTTCTCGTCCTGTTCTCGTCCTGTTCTCGCCCTGTTCTCCTCTTGTTCTCCTCCTGCTCTCGTCCTGTTCTTGTCCTGTTCTCGCCCTGTTCTCGTCCTGTTCTTGTCCTGTTCTTGTCCTGTTCTCCTCCTGTTCCTGTCCTGTTCTCCTCCTGTTCTCGTCCTGTTCTCGTCCTGTTCTCGCCCTGTTCTCGTCCTGTTCTCCTCCTGTTCTCGTCCTGTTCTCGTCCTGTACTCGTCCTGTTCTCCTCCTGTTCTCGTCCTGTTCTCGTCCTGTTCTCGCCCTGTTCTCGTCCTGTTCTCCTCCTGTTCTCGTCCTGTTCTCGTCCTGTACTCGTCCCTTTCTCCTCCTGTTCTCGTCCTGTTCTCGTCCTGTTCTCGCCCTGTTCTCGTCCCGTTCTTGTCCTGTTCTCCTCCTGTTCTCGTCCTGTTCTCGTCCTGTTCTCCTCCTGTTCTCCTCCTGTTCTCCTCCTGTTCTTGTCCTGTTCTCCTCCTGTTCTCCTCCTGTTCTCCTCCTGTTCTCCTCCTGTTCTCGTCCTGTTCTCGTCCTGTTCTCCTCCTGTTCTCGTCCTGTTCTCCTCCTGTTCTTGTCCTGTTCTCCTCCTGTTCTTGTCCTGTTCTCACCCTGTTCTCGTCCTGTTCTCCTCCTGTTCTCGTCCTGTTCTCCTCCTGTTCTCGTCCTGTTCTCCTCCTGTTCTCCTCCTGTTCTTGTCCTGTTCTCCCCCTGTTCTCGTCCTGTTCTCGTCCTGTTCTCCTCCTGTTCTCGTCCTGTTCTCGTCCTGTTCTCCTCCTGTTCTCGTCCTGTTCTCCTCCTGTTCTCCTCCTGTTCTCGTCCTGTTCTCCTCCTGTTCTCGTCCTGTTCTCGTCCTGTTCTCGCCCTGTTCTCCTCTTGTTCTCCTCCTGCTCTCGTCCTGTTCTCGTCCTGTTCTCGCCCTGTTCTCGTCCCGTTCTCGTCCCGTTCTCCTCCTGTTCTCCTCCTGTTCTCGTCCTGTTCTTGTCCTGTTCTCGTCCTGTTCTCGTCCTGTTCTCGTCCTGTTCTCGTCCTGTTCTCCTCCTGTTCTCGTCCTGTTCTCCTCCTGTTCTCGTCCTGTTCTCGTCCTGTTCTCCTCCTGTTCTCCTCCTGTTCTCGTCCTGTTCTCGCCCTGTTCTCCTCCTGTTCTCCTCCTGTTCTCGTCCTGTTCTCCTCCTGTTCTCGTCCTGTTCTCCTCCTGTTCTCCTCCTGTTCTCCTCCTGTTCTCGTCCTGTTCTCCTCCTGTTCTCGTCCTGTTCTCGTCCTGTTCTCCTCCTGTTCTCCTCCTGTTCTCGTCCTGTTCTCGCCCTGTTCTCCTCCTGTTCTCCTCCTGTTCTCGTCCTGTTCTCCTCCTGTTCTCGTCCTGTTCTCCTCCTGTTCTCCTCCTGTTCTCCTCCTGTTCTCGTCCTGTTCTCCTCCTGTTCTCGTCCTGTTCTCGTCCTGTTCTCCTCCTGTTCTCCTCCTGTTCTCGCCCTGTTCTCCTCCTGTTCTCCTCCTGTTCTCGTCCTGTTCTCCTCCTGTTCTCGTCCTGTTCTCGTCCTGTTCTCCTCCTGTTCTCCTCCTGTTCTCGTCCTGTTCTCGCCCTGTTCTCCTCCTGTTCTCCTCCTGTTCTTGTCCTGTTCTCGTCCTGTTCTCGTCCTGTTCTCACCCTGTTCTCGTCCTGTTCTTGTCCTGTTCTCCTCCTGTTCTCGTCCTGTTCTCGTCCTGTTCTCGTCCTGTTCTCCTCCTGTTCTTGTCCTGTTCTCCTCCTGTTCTTGTCCTGTTCTCACCCTGTTCTCGTCCTGTTCTCCTCCTGTTCTCGTCCTGTTCTCCTCCTGTTCTCGTCCTGTTCTTGTCCTGTTCTCCTCCTGTTCTTGTCCTGTTCTCACCCTGTTCTCGTCCTGTTCTCCTCCTGTTCTCGTCCTGTTCTTGTCCTGTTCTCATCCTGTTCTTGTCCTGTTCTCACCCTGTTCTTGTCCTGTTCTCACCCTGTTCTCGTCCTGTTCTCCTCCTGTTCTCATCTTGTTCTCCTCCTGTTCTCGTCCTGTTCTCGTCCTGTTCTCGCCCTTTTCTCCTCTTGTTCTCCTCCTGCTCTCGTCCTGTTCTTGTCCTGTTCTCGCCCTGTTCTCGTCCTGTTCTCGTCCTGTTCTTGTCCTGTTCTCCTCCTGTTCCTGTCCTGTTCTCCTCCTGTTCTCGTCCTGTTCTCGTCCTGTTCTCGCCCTGTTCTCGTCCTGTTCTCCTCCTGTTCTCGTCCTGTTCTCGTCCTGTACTCGTCCTGTTCTACTCCTGTTCTCGTCCTGTTCTCGTCCTGTTCTCGCCCTGTTCTCGTCCTGTTCTCCTCCTGTTCTCGTCCTGTTCTCGTCCTGTACTCGTCCTGTTCTCCTCCTGTTCTCGTCCTGTTCTCGTCCTGTTCTCGCCCTGTTCTCGTCCCGTTCTTGTCCCGTTCTCCTCCCGTTCTCCTCCTGTTCTCCTCCTGTTCTCGTCCTGTTCTTGTCCTGTTCTCGTCCTGTTCTCGTCCTGTTCTCCTCCTGTTCTCCTCCTGTTCTCGTCCTGTTCTCCTCCTGTTCTCGTTCTGTTCTCGTCCTGTTCTCCTCCTGTTCTCCTCCTGTTCTCCTCCTGTTCTCGTCCTGTTCTCGCCCTGTTCTCCTCCTGTTCTCCTCCTGTTCTTGTCCTGTTCTCGTCCTGTTCTCGTCCTGTTCTCACCCTGTTCTCGTCCTGTTCTTGTCCTGTTCTCCTCCTGTTCTCGTCCTGTTCTCCTACTGTTCTCGTCCTGTTCTCCTCCTGTTCTTGTCCTGTTCTCCTCCTGTTCTTGTCCTGTTCTCACCCTGTTCTCGTCCTGTTCTCCTCCTGTTCTCGTCCTGTTCTCCTCCTGTTCTCGTCCTGTTCTTGTCCTGTTCTCCTCCTGTTCTTGTCCTGTTCTCACCCTGTTCTCGTCCTGTTCTCCTCCTGTTCTCGTCCTGTTCTTGTCCTGTTCTCCTCCTGTTCTTGTCCTGTTCTCACCCTGTTCTTGTCCTGTTCTCACCCTGTTCTCGTCCTGTTCTCCTCCTGTTCTCGTCCTGTTCTCGTCCTGTTCTCGCCCTGTTCTCCTCTTGTTCTCCTCCTGCTCTCGTCCTGTTCTTGTCCTGTTCTCGCCCTGTTCTCGTCCTGTTCTTTTCCTGTTCTTGTCCTGTTCTCCTCCTGTTCCTGTCCTGTTCTCCTCCTGTTCTCGTCCTGTTCTCGCCCTGTTCTCGTCCTGTTCTCCTCCTGTTCTCGTCCTGTTCTCGTCCTGTACTCGTCCTGTTCTCCTCCTGTTCTCGTCCTGTTCTCGTCCTGTTCTCGCCCTGTTCTCGTCCTGTTCTCCTCCTGTTCTCGTCCTGTTCTCGTCCTGTACTCGTCCTGTTCTCCTCCTGTTCTCGTCCTGTTCTCATCCTGTTCTCGCCCTGTTCTCGTCCCGTTCTTGTCCTGTTCTCCTCCTGTTCTCGTCCTGTTCTCCTCCTGTTCTCGTCCTGTTCTCCTCCTGTTCTTGTCCTGTTCTTGTCCTGTTCTCCTCCTGTTCTTGTCCTGTTCTCACCCTGTTCTCGTCCTGTTCTCCTCCTGTTCTCGTCCTGTTCTTGTCCTGTTCTCCTCCTGTTCTTGTCCTGTTCTCACCCTGTTCTTGTCCTGTTCTCACCCTGTTCTCGTCCTGTTCTCCTCCTGTTCTCATCCTGTTCTCCTCCTGTTCTCGTCCTGTTCTCGTCCTGTTCTCGCCCTGTTCTCCTCTTGTTCTCCTCCTGCTCTCGTCCTGTTCTTGTCCTGTTCTCGCCCTGTTCTCGTCCTGTTCTCGTCCTGTTCTTGTCCTGTTCTCCTCCTGTTCCTGTCCTGTTCTCCTCCTGTTCTCGTCCTGTTCTCGTCCTGTTCTCGCCCTGTTCTCCTCTTGTTCTCCTCCTGCTCTCGTCCTGTTCTTGTCCTGTTCTCGCCCTGTTCTCGTCCTGTTCTCGTCCTGTTCTTGTCCTGTTCTCCTCCTGTTCCTGTCCTGTTCTCCTCCTGTTCTCGTCCTGTTCTCGTCCTGTTCTCGCCCTGTTCTCGTCCTGTTCTCCTCCTGTTCTCGTCCTGTTCTCGTCCTGTACTCGTCCTGTTCTCCTCCTGTTCTCGTCCTGTTCTCGCCCTGTTCTCGTCCTGTTCTCCTCCTGTTCTCGTCCTGTTCTCGTCCTGTACTCGTCCTGTTCTCCTCCTGTTCTCGTCCTGTTCTCGTCCTGTTCTCGCCCTGTTCTCGTCCCGTTCTTGTCCTGTTCTCCTCCTGTTCTCCTCCTGTTCTCCTCCTGTTCTCGTCCTGTTCTTGTCCTGTTCTCGTCCTGTTCTCCTCCTGTTCTCCTCCTGTTCTCCTCCTGTTCTCGTCCTGTTCTCCTCCTGTTCTCGTCCTGTTCTCGTCCTGTTCTCCTCCTGTTCTCCTCCTGTTCTCGTCCTGTTCTCGCCCTGTTCTCCTCCTGTTCTCCTCCTGTTCTTGTCCTGTTCTCGTCCTGTTCTCGTCCTGTTCTCACCCTGTTCTCGTCCTGTTCTTGTCCTGTTCTCCTCCTGTTCTCGTCCTGTTCTCCTACTGTTCTCGTCCTGTTCTCCTCCTGTTCTTGTCCTGTTCTCCTCCTGTTCTTGTCCTGTTCTCACCCTGTTCTCGTCCTGTTCTCCTCCTGTTCTCGTCCTGTTCTCCTCCTGTTCTCGTCCTGTTCTTGTCCTGTTCTCCTCCTGTTCTCGTCCTGTTCTTGTCCTGTTCTCCTCCTGTTCTCGTCCTGTTCTCCTACTGTTCTCGTCCTGTTCTCCTCCTGTTCTTGTCCTGTTCTCCTCCTGTTCTTGTCCTGTTCTCACCCTGTTCTCGTCCTGTTCTCCTCCTGTTCTCGTCCTGTTCTCCTCCTGTTCTCGTCCTGTTCTTGTCCTGTTCTCCTCCTGTTCTTGTCCTGTTCTCACCCTGTTCTCGTCCTGTTCTCCTCCTGTTCTCGTCCTGTTCTTGTCCTGTTCTCCTCCTGTTCTTGTCCTGTTCTCACCCTGTTCTTGTCCTGTTCTCACCCTGTTCTCGTCCTGTTCTCCTCCTTTTCTCGTCCTGTTCTCCTCCTGTTCTCGTCCTGTTCTCGTCCTGTTCTCGCCCTGTTCTCCTCTTGTTCTCCTCCTGCTCTCGTCCTGTTCTTGTCCTGTTCTCGCCCTGTTCTCGTCCTGTTCTTTTCCTGTTCTTGTCCTGTTCTCCTCCTGTTCCTGTCCTGTTCTCCTCCTGTTCTCGTCCTGTTCTCGCCCTGTTCTCGTCCTGTTCTCCTCCTGTTCTCGTCCTGTTCTCGTCCTGTACTCGTCCTGTTCTCCTCCTGTTCTCGTCCTGTTCTCGTCCTGTTCTCGCCCTGTTCTCGTCCTGTTCTCCTCCTGTTCTCGTCCTGTTCTCGTCCTGTACTCGTCCTGTTCTCCTCCTGTTCTCGTCCTGTTCTCGTCCTGTTCTCGCCCTGTTCTCGTCCCGTTCTTGTCCTGTTCTCCTCCTGTTCTCGTCCTGTTCTCGTCCTGTTCTCGTCCCGTTCTTGTCCTGTTCTCCTCCTGTTCTCGTCCCGTTCTTGTCCTGTTCTCCTCCTGTTCTCGTCCTGTTCTCCTCCTGTTCTCGCCCTGTTCTCCTCTTGTTCTCCTCCTGCTCTCGTCCTGTTCTTGTCCTGTTCTCGCCCTGTTCTCGTCCCGTTCTTGTTCTGTTCTCCTCCTGTTCTCGCCCTGTTCTTGTCCTGTTCTCCTCCTTTTCTCGTCCTGTTCTTGTCCTGTTCTCCTCCTGTTCTCCTCCTGTTCTCGTCCCGTTCTTGTCCTGTTCTCCTCCCGTTCTCGTCCCGTTCTTGTCCTGTTCTCGTCCTGTTCTCGCCCTGTTCTTGTCCTGTTCTCGCCCTTTTCTCCTCCTGTTCTCCTCCTGTTCTCGTCCTGTTCTCGTCCTGTTCTCGTCCTGTTCTCGCCCTGTTCTTGTCCTGTTCTCGCCCTTTTCTCCTCCTGTTCTCCTCCTGTTCTTGTCCTGTTCTCGCCCTGTTCTCCTCTTGTTCTCCTCCTGTTCTCCTCCTGTTCTCGTCCTGTTCTTGTCCTGTTCTCGTCCTGTTCTCCTCCTGTTCTCCTCCTGTTCTCCTCCTGTTCTCGTCCTGTTCTCCTCCTGTTCTCGTCCTGTTCTCCTCCAGTTCTCCTCCTGTTCTCGTCCTGTTCTCGCCCTGTTCTCCTCCTGTTCTCCTCCTGTTCTTGTCCTGTTCTCGTCCTGTTCTCGTCCTGTTCTCACCCTGTTCTCGTCCTGTTCTTGTCCTGTTCTCCTCCTGTTCTCGTCCTGTTCTCCTACTGTTCTCGTCCTGTTCTTGTCCTGTTCTCCTCCTGTTCTTGTCCTGTTCTCACCCTGTTCTCGCCCTGTTCTCGTCCTGTTCTCCTCCTGTTCTCGTCCTGTTCTCGTCCTGTACTCGTCCTGTTCTCCTCCTGTTCTCGTCCTGTTCTCGTCCTGTTCTCGCCCTGTTCTCGTCCCGTTCTTGTCCCGTTCTCCTCCCGTTCTCCTCCTGTTCTCCTCCTGTTCTCGTCCTGTTCTTGTCCTGTTCTCGTCCTGTTCTCGTCCTGTTCTCCTCCTGTTCTCCTCCTGTTCTCGTCCTGTTCTCCTCCTGTTCTCGTCCTGTTCTCGTCCTGTTCTCGTCCTGTTCTCCTCCTGTTCTCCTCCTGTTCTCCTCCTGTTCTCGTCCTGTTCTCGCCCTGTTCTCCTCCTGTTCTCCTCCTGTTCTTGTCCTGTTCTCGTCCTGTTCTCCTCCTGTTCCTGTCCTGTTCTCCTCCTGTTCTCGTCCTGTTCTCGCCCTGTTCTCCTCCTGTTCTCGTCCTGTTCTCCTCCTGTTCTCGTCCTGTTCTCGTCCTGTTCTCCTCCTGTTCTCGCCCTGTTCTCCTCCTGTTCTCCTCCTGTTCTCGTCCTGTTCTCCTCCTGTTCTCGTCCTGTTCTCGTCCTGTTCTCCTCCTGTTCTCCTCCTGTTCTCGTCCTGTTCTCGCCCTGTTCTCCTCCTGTTCTCCTCCTGTTCTTGTCCTGTTCTCGTCCTGTTCTCGTCCTGTTCTCACCCTGTTCTCGTCCTGTTCTTGTCCTGTTCTCCTCCTGTTCTCGTCCTGTTCTCGTCCTGTTCTCGTCCTGTTCTCCTCCTGTTCTTGTCCTGTTCTCCTCCTGTTCTTGTCCTGTTCTCACCCTGTTCTCGTCCTGTTCTCCTCCTGTTCTCGTCCTGTTCTCCTCCTGTTCTCGTCCTGTTCTTGTCCTGTTCTCCTCCTGTTCTTGTCCTGTTCTCACCCTGTTCTCGTCCTGTTCTCCTCCTGTTCTCGTCCTGTTCTTGTCCTGTTCTCATCCTGTTCTTGTCCTGTTCTCACCCTGTTCTTGTCCTGTTCTCACCCTGTTCTCGTCCTGTTCTCCTCCTGTTCTCATCTTGTTCTCCTCCTGTTCTCGTCCTGTTCTCGTCCTGTTCTCGCCCTTTTCTCCTCTTGTTCTCCTCCTGCTCTCGTCCTGTTCTTGTCCTGTTCTCGCCCTGTTCTCGTCCTGTTCTCGTCCTGTTCTTGTCCTGTTCTCCTCCTGTTCCTGTCCTGTTCTCCTCCTGTTCTCGTCCTGTTCTCGTCCTGTTCTCGCCCTGTTCTCGTCCTGTTCTCCTCCTGTTCTCGTCCTGTTCTCGTCCTGTACTCGTCCTGTTCTACTCCTGTTCTCGTCCTGTTCTCGTCCTGTTCTCGCCCTGTTCTCGTCCTGTTCTCCTCCTGTTCTCGTCCTGTTCTCGTCCTGTACTCGTCCTGTTCTCCTCCTGTTCTCGTCCTGTTCTCGTCCTGTTCTCGCCCTGTTCTCGTCCCGTTCTTGTCCCGTTCTCCTCCCGTTCTCCTCCTGTTCTCCTCCTGTTCTCGTCCTGTTCTCGTCCTGTTCTCGTCCTGTTCTCCTCCTGTTCTCCTCCTGTTCTCGTCCTGTTCTCCTCCTGTTCTCGTTCTGTTCTCGTCCTGTTCTCCTCCTGTTCTCCTCCTGTTCTCCTCCTGTTCTCGTCCTGTTCTCGCCCTGTTCTCCTCCTGTTCTCCTCCTGTTCTTGTCCTGTTCTCGTCCTGTTCTCGTCCTGTTCTCACCCTGTTCTCGTCCTGTTCTTGTCCTGTTCTCCTCCTGTTCTCGTCCTGTTCTCCTACTGTTCTCGTCCTGTTCTCCTCCTGTTCTTGTCCTGTTCTCCTCCTGTTCTTGTCCTGTTCTCACCCTGTTCTCGTCCTGTTCTCCTCCTGTTCTCGTCCTGTTCTCCTCCTGTTCTCGTCCTGTTCTTGTCCTGTTCTCCTCCTGTTCTTGTCCTGTTCTCACCCTGTTCTCGTCCTGTTCTCCTCCTGTTCTCGTCCTGTTCTTGTCCTGTTCTCCTCCTGTTCTTGTCCTGTTCTCACCCTGTTCTTGTCCTGTTCTCACCCTGTTCTCGTCCTGTTCTCCTCCTGTTCTCGTCCTGTTCTCGTCCTGTTCTCGCCCTGTTCTCCTCTTGTTCTCCTCCTGCTCTCGTCCTGTTCTTGTCCTGTTCTCGCCCTGTTCTCGTCCTGTTCTTTTCCTGTTCTTGTCCTGTTCTCCTCCTGTTCCTGTCCTGTTCTCCTCCTGTTCTCGTCCTGTTCTCGCCCTGTTCTCGTCCTGTTCTCCTCCTGTTCTCGTCCTGTTCTCGTCCTGTACTCGTCCTGTTCTCCTCCTGTTCTCGTCCTGTTCTCGTCCTGTTCTCGCCCTGTTCTCGTCCTGTTCTCCTCCTGTTCTCGTCCTGTTCTCGTCCTGTACTCGTCCTGTTCTCCTCCTGTTCTCGTCCTGTTCTCGTCCTGTTCTCGCCCTGTTCTCGTCCCGTTCTTGTCCTGTTCTCCTCCTGTTCTCGTCCTGTTCTCCTCCTGTTCTCGTCCTGTTCTCCTCCTGTTCTCGTCCTGTTCTTGTCCTGTTCTCCTCCTGTTCTTGTCCTGTTCTCACCCTGTTCTCGTCCTGTTCTCCTCCTGTTCTCGTCCTGTTCTTGTCCTGTTCTCCTCCTGTTCTTGTCCTGTTCTCACCCTGTTCTTGTCCTGTTCTCACCCTGTTCTCGTCCTGTTCTCCTCCTGTTCTCATCCTGTTCTCCTCCTGTTCTCGTCCTGTTCTCGTCCTGTTCTCGCCCTGTTCTCCTCTTGTTCTCCTCCTGCTCTCGTCCTGTTCTTGTCCTGTTCTCGCCCTGTTCTCGTCCTGTTCTCGTCCTGTTCTTGTCCTGTTCTCCTCCTGTTCCTGTCCTGTTCTCCTCCTGTTCTCGTCCTGTTCTCGTCCTGTTCTCGCCCTGTTCTCCTCTTGTTCTCCTCCTGCTCTCGTCCTGTTCTTGTCCTGTTCTCGCCCTGTTCTCGTCCTGTTCTCGTCCTGTTCTTGTCCTGTTCTCCTCCTGTTCCTGTCCTGTTCTCCTCCTGTTCTCGTCCTGTTCTCGTCCTGTTCTCGCCCTGTTCTCGTCCTGTTCTCCTCCTGTTCTCGTCCTGTTCTCGTCCTGTACTCGTCCTGTTCTCCTCCTGTTCTCGTCCTGTTCTCGCCCTGTTCTCGTCCTGTTCTCCTCCTGTTCTCGTCCTGTTCTCGTCCTGTACTCGTCCTGTTCTCCTCCTGTTCTCGTCCTGTTCTCGTCCTGTTCTCGCCCTGTTCTCGTCCCGTTCTTGTCCTGTTCTCCTCCTGTTCTCCTCCTGTTCTCCTCCTGTTCTCGTCCTGTTCTTGTCCTGTTCTCGTCCTGTTCTCCTCCTGTTCTCCTCCTGTTCTCCTCCTGTTCTCGTCCTGTTCTCCTCCTGTTCTCGTCCTGTTCTCGTCCTGTTCTCCTCCTGTTCTCCTCCTGTTCTCGTCCTGTTCTCGCCCTGTTCTCCTCCTGTTCTCCTCCTGTTCTTGTCCTGTTCTCGTCCTGTTCTCGTCCTGTTCTCACCCTGTTCTCGTCCTGTTCTTGTCCTGTTCTCCTCCTGTTCTCGTCCTGTTCTCCTACTGTTCTCGTCCTGTTCTCCTCCTGTTCTTGTCCTGTTCTCCTCCTGTTCTTGTCCTGTTCTCACCCTGTTCTCGTCCTGTTCTCCTCCTGTTCTCGTCCTGTTCTCCTCCTGTTCTCGTCCTGTTCTTGTCCTGTTCTCCTCCTGTTCTCGTCCTGTTCTTGTCCTGTTCTCCTCCTGTTCTCGTCCTGTTCTCCTACTGTTCTCGTCCTGTTCTCCTCCTGTTCTTGTCCTGTTCTCCTCCTGTTCTTGTCCTGTTCTCACCCTGTTCTCGTCCTGTTCTCCTCCTGTTCTCGTCCTGTTCTCCTCCTGTTCTCGTCCTGTTCTTGTCCTGTTCTCCTCCTGTTCTTGTCCTGTTCTCACCCTGTTCTCGTCCTGTTCTCCTCCTGTTCTCGTCCTGTTCTTGTCCTGTTCTCCTCCTGTTCTTGTCCTGTTCTCACCCTGTTCTTGTCCTGTTCTCACCCTGTTCTCGTCCTGTTCTCCTCCTTTTCTCGTCCTGTTCTCCTCCTGTTCTCGTCCTGTTCTCGTCCTGTTCTCGCCCTGTTCTCCTCTTGTTCTCCTCCTGCTCTCGTCCTGTTCTTGTCCTGTTCTCGCCCTGTTCTCGTCCTGTTCTTTTCCTGTTCTTGTCCTGTTCTCCTCCTGTTCCTGTCCTGTTCTCCTCCTGTTCTCGTCCTGTTCTCGCCCTGTTCTCGTCCTGTTCTCCTCCTGTTCTCGTCCTGTTCTCGTCCTGTACTCGTCCTGTTCTCCTCCTGTTCTCGTCCTGTTCTCGTCCTGTTCTCGCCCTGTTCTCGTCCTGTTCTCCTCCTGTTCTCGTCCTGTTCTCGTCCTGTACTCGTCCTGTTCTCCTCCTGTTCTCGTCCTGTTCTCGTCCTGTTCTCGCCCTGTTCTCGTCCCGTTCTTGTCCTGTTCTCCTCCTGTTCTCGTCCTGTTCTCGTCCTGTTCTCGTCCCGTTCTTGTCCTGTTCTCCTCCTGTTCTCGTCCCGTTCTTGTCCTGTTCTCCTCCTGTTCTCGTCCTGTTCTCCTCCTGTTCTCGCCCTGTTCTCCTCTTGTTCTCCTCCTGCTCTCGTCCTGTTCTTGTCCTGTTCTCGCCCTGTTCTCGTCCCGTTCTTGTTCTGTTCTCCTCCTGTTCTCGCCCTGTTCTTGTCCTGTTCTCCTCCTTTTCTCGTCCTGTTCTTGTCCTGTTCTCCTCCTGTTCTCCTCCTGTTCTCGTCCCGTTCTTGTCCTGTTCTCCTCCCGTTCTCGTCCCGTTCTTGTCCTGTTCTCGTCCTGTTCTCGCCCTGTTCTTGTCCTGTTCTCGCCCTTTTCTCCTCCTGTTCTCCTCCTGTTCTCGTCCTGTTCTCGTCCTGTTCTCGTCCTGTTCTCGCCCTGTTCTTGTCCTGTTCTCGCCCTTTTCTCCTCCTGTTCTCCTCCTGTTCTTGTCCTGTTCTCGCCCTGTTCTCCTCTTGTTCTCCTCCTGTTCTCCTCCTGTTCTCGTCCTGTTCTTGTCCTGTTCTCGTCCTGTTCTCCTCCTGTTCTCCTCCTGTTCTCCTCCTGTTCTCGTCCTGTTCTCCTCCTGTTCTCGTCCTGTTCTCCTCCAGTTCTCCTCCTGTTCTCGTCCTGTTCTCGCCCTGTTCTCCTCCTGTTCTCCTCCTGTTCTTGTCCTGTTCTCGTCCTGTTCTCGTCCTGTTCTCACCCTGTTCTCGTCCTGTTCTTGTCCTGTTCTCCTCCTGTTCTCGTCCTGTTCTCCTACTGTTCTCGTCCTGTTCTTGTCCTGTTCTCCTCCTGTTCTTGTCCTGTTCTCACCCTGTTCTCGCCCTGTTCTCGTCCTGTTCTCCTCCTGTTCTCGTCCTGTTCTCGTCCTGTACTCGTCCTGTTCTCCTCCTGTTCTCGTCCTGTTCTCGTCCTGTTCTCGCCCTGTTCTCGTCCCGTTCTTGTCCCGTTCTCCTCCCGTTCTCCTCCTGTTCTCCTCCTGTTCTCGTCCTGTTCTTGTCCTGTTCTCGTCCTGTTCTCGTCCTGTTCTCCTCCTGTTCTCCTCCTGTTCTCGTCCTGTTCTCCTCCTGTTCTCGTCCTGTTCTCGTCCTGTTCTCCTCCTGTTCTCCTCCTGTTCTCCTCCTGTTCTCGTCCTGTTCTCGCCCTGTTCTCCTCCTGTTCTCCTCCTGTTCTTGTCCTGTTCTCGTCCTGTTCTCCTCCTGTTCCTGTCCTGTTCTCCTCCTGTTCTCGTCCTGTTCTCGCCCTGTTCTCCTCCTGTTCTCCTCCTGTTCTCGTCCTGTTCTCGTCCTGTACTCGTCCTGTTCTCCTCCTGTTCTCGTCCTGTTCTCGTCCTGTTCTCGCCCTGTTCTCGTCCTGTTCTCCTCCTGTTTTCGTCCTGTTCTCGTCCTGTACTCGTCCTGTTCTCCTCCTGTTCTCGTCCTGTTCTCGTCCTGTTCTCGCCCTGTTCTCGTCCCGTTCTTGTCCTGTTCTCCTCCTGTTCTCGTCCTGTTCTCGTCCTGTTCTCGTCCCGTTCTTGTCCTGTTCTCCTCCTGTTCTCGTCCCGTTCTTGTCCTGTTCTCCTCCTGTTCTCGTCCTGTTCTCCTCCTGTTCTCGCCCTGTTCTCCTCTTGTTCTCCTCCTGCTCTCGTCCTGTTCTTGTCCTGTTCTCGCCCTGTTCTCGTCCCGTTCTTGTCCTGTTCTCCTCCTGTTCTCGTCCTGTTCTCGTCCTGTTCTCCTCCTTTTCTCCTCCTGTTCTCCTCCTGTTCTCCTCCTGTTCTCCTCCTGTTCTCGTCCCGTTCTTGTCCTGTTCTCCTCCCGTTCTCGTCCTGTTCTCGTCCTGTTCTTGTCCTGTTCTCGCCCTGTTCTTGTCCTGTTCTCGCCCTTTTCTCCTCCTGTTCTCCTCCTGTTCTCGTCCTGTTCTCGTCCTGTTCTCGTCCTGTTCTCGCCCTGTTCTTGTCCTGTTCTCGCCCTTTTCTCCTCCTGTTCTCCTCCTTTTCTTGTCCTGTTCTCGTCCTGTTCTCGCCCTGTTCTCCTCTTGTTCTCCTCCTGTTCTCCTCCTGTTCTCCTCCTGTTCTCCTCCCGTTCTCGCCCTGTTCTTGTCCTGTTCTCCTCCTGTTCTCCTCCTGTTCTCCTCCTGTTCTCCTCCTGTTCTCGCCCTGTTCTCGTCCCGATCAGAGGAGAGGATGACTCTTTAAACACATTAAATCTGAGATCAAACTGGAACAGAACGCTGTATTTCTGCGTGCGCTCGTCCTGCCTCTGCTGGTAATTACGGTAGTTAGCAGAGTAACCTGATCATGCCTGCTGTCGGCTCCATTCATACGCCAACAGAGACAAAGGGTCACATGTTCCACCCGTCTGCCAACGCCGCGGTTCATCCACATTCAGATGGAAGATCAGGTAGAACAGCATGATGGGACAGTTTTATAAATATCAAACCAAGTATCCATCTGTCCTCCTCTTCCTCCTCGTCCTCCTCCTCCTCCTCGTCCTCCTCCTCCTCCTCCTCCTCCTCCTCCATCAAACTCAGACTTTAAAACATGAACGTTTACAGACTCCTGTTCTCCTGTCAACTAAAGTTCAACACAAACTAAAGTCAAAGTATGAAAGTTTCCAAAGTCAGACGGTTCGTTCTGTTGAACTCTGAGACTTATTTCATCTTTTTATTTCTAACCAAACTAACAGACACAATGAGCGTGTGTGTGTGTGTGTGTGTGTGTGTGTGTGTGTGTGTGTGGTACTCACTATACTGCTGTCTGAGAGAACCGGGTCAAACAAGCTGTCCAGGTACCGATCCATCCCCCTCTGAGTCGGACTGTCGCTGAACGCATCAGATTCAACTGAACAAAGAGACACGAGAGTTTTTTTAACGATGACGTCAGAATAAACGACAGAAACGGGTCAGAATAATAATAATAATAATCCTGAGGGACATTAATACGTGTTTTATATACACACACTTCAACACAGGGGGCGCTGTCACAGCAGGATCCAGCTGTCACTGAACCAGTGTCATTGTGAGTTTCTCAGAGAACCTCAGAGCACAGAGGTCACATAAACTACCAACAGAACCAACAGAACTTAACAGAACTTAACAGAACCAACAGAACCACTTTCTAACTTTCTAAAGAGGAGCCAGACAGGAGGAGGAGGAGGCTGGGAGCGTTAGAAGGGGGCGTGCACGGCTGCAGCAGCTCTTAGCTCTCTAATCTGGTGCTGACCCAGCCCCTCTTTACATCCATGGGGACTGTGTGGACCGGGTCGGCTCCATCAGAATCCTGGGAGCTGTCCGGTAACCTCTCCTGGACTTCTAACATCACAGCGGTGGTGAAGAAAGCCCAGCAGAGACTGAAGGTGAAGAACCTGGAGGAGGAGAAGCTGCTGGAGTTGTTCTACAGAGCCGCCATGGCGAGCTTCCTGGCGTTCTGCATCACAGCATGGTACGCTCAGCAGCAGACAGGGGGCGCTGTAGGGGTGATTAACACGGCACAGAAGCAGAGCGACCAGCATCATCAAGGACACGCCCCCAGAAATCACCTGTTGGACCTCCTGACCCGCTCCCATAAATCACAAACAGGCTCAGGGTCAGTTTTTTCCCATCAGCCATCACTCCACTGAACGATAAGAAATCACTTTAACACAGTCGTTGAACTTCACCTGGTTCTACACTCCTACCTTCTTCTCAGTCTTTTACTGAGTTGTTAATATATTGATCGATTATTTATTGATCTTGTTTTTATCTCCCTCTGGAGAAGCCCCTAAATCTCGTTATGATGTTTCTATGACGACAATAAAGGTGATGAGTTCATGAAGTACGTCACAGAGTGTGTAGAAGACATTTGTGTGTCTGTACCGTGACTGAAGTAACCGTCGGAGTCCGGCAGACTGTAGGCCGGTCTGCCGCTGAGAGGACGCTCCTCATCAGAGTCAAAGCCGCCGCCAAACAAAGCGCTGAGAGAGAGAGAGAGAGAGAGAGAGAGAGAGAGAGAGAGAGAGAGAGAGAGAGAGAGAGAGAGAGAGAGGGTTAATGTGGTCAGAAATCACAGACGTGTCCGTCAGTTCATGAATGTTTGCGTCACTGACAGGCTGGCGTTGGCGCGAACTTTGGCGGGGTCGTCACTGCTGATGATGAAGTAACTTTTCTGCTTTGGGAAGTCGGTGGGAAGCTCAAGGTCGGCTATCAAGTCCATCACATAGTCATGACCCGCTAACTCCACCCACTGACCCTGCTCCTTCATCAGAACTGAACTCCCTCTCCACCAGTCTGACACTCCTCTGGAAACAGGAGAAACAGAGCCGTGAGCGTCCTTAAACACGAGCCGCAGAATAAACACTGTTTTAGGACAGAGTGAAGACAGGAGCACCTGTGACGCAGGACGTCCCCGCCTACGTCCTCCCCGCTGTCCCAAGAATGAACAGGACACAGAAAAGATCCTCCTGAAAACAACAGAAACATGGAGGAAAGTTCACCAACGGTTCTTCTTCTGTTCAGCAGCGTTTACAGATCATCAAACTGACGTAAAGAAACTGTGAATCCACAGACAGGAGGTTCATCAGAGGGGGGCATGAGGGGCCCCGGGCCCCCTTGATTTCTAACAAACCATCTTTGGTGCCAAGTCTGGAGACACATCACTCAGTGGTCTTTGGACGCACTTTTAAAACTACGTCACCGGCGAGGAACGAAACTAGAGCCCCTGGTTCTTCCTGTTTGTCAACAGTCAACGAATGAACGACTTAAACTGCTTCATGAAATCTCACCATCAAAACAGTGCACATGCAGCACCATGTTAGCCTTCTTCCTATTGGCTGTCCACTCCAGCAGTGACAGAGGATAGGTCCGAGCAGTCTCAGGGGCGGAGCCTGAGCTGAGCTGTGTCTTCTTATTGGCTTGGATGAGTCTGTGCTGCAGGAGCGCCTGGTAACCAGGAGGGGCGTGGTCTGACACAAACCTGGATGACAAAAAACACCAAGATTAACCTGAACGCTGACGGGTTTATGGGTGGAGCTAAAATCATGAACAGGATTCAGATAAAAACAGCAAATTAACGACAAATAAACCGTCATTATTTATTATTATTATTATTATTATACATCAACCGTCATTATTCATTACTATTATTATTATTTATTATTATTATTATTATTATTATTATTATTATTATTATTATTATTATACATCAACAGTCATTATTTATTACTATTATTATTTATTATTATTATTATACATCAACCTTCATTATTTATTATTATTATTATTATTATTATTATTATTATACATCAACCTTCATTATTATTTATTATTATTATTATTATTATTATTATTATACATCAACCTTCATTATTTATTATTATTATTATTATACATTGTGGCGGGGCGCCACTAACGCCGTCCTCATCGCGGCTGGCCGCTCTCTCCCTCGCGGCTGGCCGCTCTCTCTCTCGCGGCTGGACGCACGCTCTCTCTCGCGGCTGGACGCCTTCTCTCCCTCTCGCTCTCCCTCGTCGCTCGGCGCCGACGTGGGGGAATAGCGTGGTCACTCGCGGCTGGAGTGACAGACGGACGGGAGTCAAAATGAACATTTAAAGACAATAATTGGACTCTTGCGTCCCCGTGGTTGGTGTTAGAGGGTGCACACTCAAACACCTACACGGGTCTCGCTTACACGTACACGCACACACATACACACTCACCTTTTGTCTCCGCTTCATGGACTGAACAGAGGCAGTTCCGGGTCACCTGTTAAGTAGCACTAGGTGACGTGCCTCCGCGGGTCAGGTGACCCAGGGAGAAACCAAAGTCCGGGAACAAATTGATTTATAGGAAAAATATTGTGTTTGGGTTTAATATTGGCTCAGCCATGTGGAGGGTGTGAGCAACAGTAATTGCTTTGTATTATTTTGTGTATGTAGAAATATTAGTTATGATATAATAGCTGATATCTTGAAAAACCCCTAGATTGTTTTGATTGGTTTGTCCGGAGGAGGGGCCAAGGGGTATTTAAAGGAGCTCAGCTCACTTGTTGGGGTGCCTCCTGGTTGAGCAGACGTATGTTGGTCCTGGTATTTGAATTGCGGTTTGTAAATAGTTTTTCCTCTGTCTTTTTTGTAAATAATTTTTGTAAATATTTTTTGTACATAAGAGTTTTCACCTGTGGGTATTTTTTTGGAGATGGTGTAAATAAAAGGAAATCACCGTACTCGGTTCTCGACTGTGCCATCATCTTTCCCTCCACAACCGAAAAAGAACTTAAAGAAACTGAACCCGCGACATTTGGTGTCAGAAGTGGGATGGCCAGTCGAAGGGGACGCATCCGGTTCACAGGAAGACGGACCGGACTGCGGTCACAAAAAGTGGAAGAAGCTGTGGAGGAAGCAGCCTGGGCCACAGAGGATGAGGATGAAGAGGGTGCTGCTGGGCCTTCCTGGCAGGCAGACCCGGGAACTTCAGGTGCTGGGGCGGAGCTGCTTACAGTGATGAGAACTTTCCTGGAGGGGCAGCAGAGGAGAGAGAAGGGCTTGCTTGCAGAGCTCAGAGGGCTTCGAGCTGCCTTACCAGTTCCACTGCAGCAGCCTGAAGCAGAACGGAGGCCGGTAACACCAAGTCCAGCACCAAGAACCACTCCGCCATCTGCTGGATCAACTATGAGCCTCCGTCTTGAGTTACCAACTCCAGCTCCTCGGCCACGACGCAGTTCTCCCGTGGAGGCACCAAGGATTGGGGCAAGTAGCCTGGCAGAACCTCCTAGGTCTGAGAGCCGACCCTGGGGTGACCCCAAGATCCCTCAGTATCTGGCGGGAGAGGACATTGAAAATTACCTGCTCCGCTTCGAGCGCATTGCCAGAACGTGGGGTTGGCCAGACAGTGAGTGGGCCTGTCGCCTGGTGCCTCTGCTAACTGGAAAGGCGCTGGAGGCTTACACAGCGATGGATGAGGACCTGGCTCACTCCTACCCGGACCTGAAGGCAGCGCTCCTGATGAAATTTGACATCTCCCCGGAGACTTATCGCCAGCAGTTCCGGTCCATGGCTGTCCCACCAGGAGAGAACCCCACAGAGACTTACCACCGCTTAAAGGGTCTCTACCGTCGATGGGTCCGGCCAGAGCAGCATACAAAGGAGCAGATCGGGGAGCAGGTCATATTGGAGCAGCTGCTGAGGGTCTTCCCGGCTGACATCCGCACCTGGGTGAAGGAGCATGAGCCGACGGATGGGCTAGCTGCAGGGAAGCTGGCACTGCAGTACCTTAACGCACGGAGGGGAGGCCCGACAGTCAACCAGGGTGGACCCAGTCGGCAGGTTTCATCACAGCCCAGACCAGCGGCCAGAGCCAGCCAGCATCCAGCAGGAGAACCTCGGTCCGCACCTCGCCAGCGCAGCCCTGGTAAGGAGCTTATTTGTTTTTACTGCCAGCAAGCAGGACACAAGGCTGCTCTGTGCCCCATCAGAAAAGCCAAGCTTAGCAGTGCCTGCTACACTCCCCGAGCGGAGGTTGCAAGTGCTGGGGGACGGCAACCAAGATTCAAGGAAATAACCATAAATGGGGAATGTGTGACTGCTTTGGTTGACTCTGGGAGCTTCCTGACGCTGGTGCGAAGGGAGCTGGTGCCAACGGGCAGTGTGGATTATAGCAGACAGGAAGACATTCTGTGCGCACACGGGGACAGCCATTCCTACCCCACAGCTGAGGTGACAGTGGTAGTGGACGAGCAGCCTTATCTGCTGACTGTGGGGGTGGTGGATAGGTTGCCTGTGGCTGCGATCCTGGGTTGGGACTTCCCAGTGCTACTGGACGTGCTGCTGGAGGCAGGACCCACAGCCAGTGACCTGGGGAAAGGGTTGTCTGGGCTGGTGATCACCCGTGCCCAGGCCAGAGCGGGGATTGCAACCGGCCCAGGGCAGGAAAAGGGCCCTGAGCCAGAACTTTTTTCAACCCTGGACAGTGGTTTGTTTGAGGGGGGCACAAAGGGCCCCAGAAAATCCCGCCGTCAGCGGCGGTTTGAGAAGGGGCTGAAATCCCAGGAGCCAGACCGAAAAAAGGGGCTGGCAAAGGACAGATGGAATGTGCCAGAGGACATTGGGGCCTTACAAAGGGAGGACACAACTCTGACGCCCCTGTTCGCCAAGGTGGTTTGGGGACAGGACCTAGCAAAGAAGGACAAAGACTGGTTTGTTGTGGACAATAATGTGCTCTATGCGATGACAGATGAGGTCAGACGCCTGGTGGTTCCTGTGTCATGTCGGCAGATGATCATGCACCTGGCACACACCTTGCCTTGGGCTGGTCATCTTGGTCGCAACAAAACCTACCTGCGGATATCTGCAAGGTTCTTCTGGCCTTCCATGTATGCGGATGTACAAACATTTTGTAAAACCTGTCCCACCTGTCAGAAGACTTGCTTTGTCCGCCAATCAGACCGTGCCTACCTCCAACCACTACCCGTGATCTCCACTCCATTTAGGCGGATAGCCATGGACATTGTTGGCCCATTGGTGAGGAGCAGCGGAGGGCACCAGTACATCCTGGTGGTCTGTGATTATGCCACTCGTTTCCCTGAGGCTTTTCCCCTGCGCACGGTCACTGCTCCGGCTGTGTTGCGTTGCCTGGTCCAGCTGTTCTCCAGGGTGGGTATTCCAGACGAGATCATCACAGACCAGGGGACTAATTTCACCTCCAGACTCCTGCAGCTCTTCCACCGACAGTTGGGGGTCTCCACAATCAAGACCACCCCATACCACCCTCAGACAGATGGCTTGGTTGAGCGTTTCAACCAAACCCTCAAGAAGATGCTGCAGAAATTTGTGTCTGACACCGGGCAAGACTGGGACCAGTGGTTACCCTTCCTGCTTTTCGCCTACCGAGAGGTTCCCCAAGCCTCCACGGGGTTCTCCCCGTTTGAACTACTGTATGGCTGGGAGGTACAGGGGCCATTGGATCTGCTTCTAAAGACGTGGGAGGCTCCTGCAACAGGCACCAGTGACCGCAGTGTGGTCCAATTCGTGTTGGAGATGAGGGACCGGCTGGCAAAGTACCGGGAGGAGGCCGAGGTCAACATGCGCGAAGCCCAGCAGGCCCAGAAGGCGTGGTACGACCAACATGCCAGACGCAGAGAGTTCCAGCCCGGCCAGAAGGTCCTACTCCTCCTCCCATCCTCCAACAGCAAGCTGCTTGCCAAGTGGCAGGGCCCGTACACCGTCCTCCGGAAGATGGGCCCTGTGACCTATGAGATCCACCACCCGGACAAGAAAAGGGCAAAGCAGGTCTACCACATCAACCTGCTGAAGGAGTGGAAGGAGGCTCCAGCTCAGGGCCCTGTGGCGGCCCTATTGGTGATGGAGGGGGACAGTGAAGGGGAGGAGGAGTGTATCCTCGCCGACCGCCACCAGTATGCTGAACCTGCTCTGGGCCATCTCTCTGCTGTCCAGTCCAGCCAGCTGTGCCAGGTGTTCGAGAGGGTCTCCAAGCTCTTCGCTGCCAGCCCGGGGAGGACCGGCCTCATCGAGCACGTGGTCCACCTGAAAGACAAGGGGCCAGTTCGCCAGAGGAGTTACCGGGTGCCACAACATCTGGTGGCCAAGCTCCTGAAGGAGGTGGAAGAGATGCAGCGCCTGGGGGTGATCGAACCGTCGCAGTCCGAGTGGTGCAGCCCAGTGGTCATTGTGGTGAAGAAGGACGGTTCCCTCCGCATCTGCATCGACTTCAGGAAGCTGAACGCAATGTCGGAGTTTGACGCCTACCCGATGCCACGGATCGACGAGCTGCTGGAGAGGATTGGCCGGGCCAGGTTCATCACCACCCTGGACCTCTGTAAGGGCTACTGGCAGGTACCCTTGGAAGCATCCAGTCGTCCCTACACAGCGTTCCAGACACCTTCCGGCCTCTTCCAGTTCACGGTGATGCCCTTTGGCCTGCATGGGGCACCCGCCACCTTCCAGAGACTGATGGACCAGGTTCTACGGGGGTGTGAGGACTGCAGTGCTGCCTACCTGGATGATGTGGTCATCTTCAGTGACACCTGGGAGCAGCACCTGCATCACCTGGAGCGAGTCCTGGGCCAGATCCAGCAGGCAGGCCTGACACTGAATCCAGCCAAATGCCAGTGGGCTAAGGAGGAGACAGAGTACCTGGGGTACCGGCTGGGACGAGGGGAGGTCCGGCCGCAGGTGGACAAGGTGGAGGCCATCCGCAGCTGCCCACGCCCTCGAACCAAGAAGGAGGTGAGG